CAGGTTTCTGGGAATTAATAGTGAACAGTGGTATCTCAAGGAAGAAAAATCTCAGGATTCTCCTTCAAAATTATTTCTGTGGAATACTCTTTGATAGGGGGATAACCTTCTAAAGCCTGTGAGAGACTTACCTATTAATAACACTTCATACTAAAGCTGGTCTATTTTAAGGTCAAGTTTTCTTCAGTAAAATTATTTAGCAACAAAGTGAAAATTTTCAGTACTTTCTGGGCATTTTTCATGAAGCCAGAAACTGAATAGTGTAGCTGCATATACTGATACACTTGGGGAAAGGCAGAATAAGATGAGCACATTAACACTAAAAGTACTCAGACTTTTGTTTGATCAGTGCCATAAGCATTAAAGTTTGCAGACCAGCATAAAAAGTACCGATAAACATTAATAACATAGTGAGATAATTCTGTCACCATCAAATTACATGAGTTATTAAACCAAATTGTCACTTCAGGGAGCAAATAAACAGGTTAAGTATATAAACTCTCAGTAAAGTGCTGGTTTGCTAGCCTTTTAAATATCTGATTAATAAAAAGAAGTATTCATGATTATTAATAATGCCTTTAGTATTTAGCACATTGCTTTTCCTATTTTAATAGCTGGCCAATACAGACAGAATTAAGAAATAAATGTTAATTCTGGCTTTTGAGTTTCAATATTGAAAGCCGCCACAGAGCATGGATGCTATTTACTTCCAAATTGTAGTGTGAATTTAGTTTGCTACAGGATTGTTCGAGCTGACCAGCTCTGTAATTTGAGGAACTAGAATGTTTCGATCATAGTGTTTTAGTAGTTATGCTTCATTATATTAACTTTACTTTTTAATATTGAAGATCTTATTTCTTATGTATTCCAGGTCCCTCTAATATGGATTTTGGTGATGTTTGTGTGCATTCTACTGCAGTCAGAAAACTGCACATCGTTAATAACTTGTCAGTTCATATATGGATACAAATTGAGATTGAAATTGATGAATTACAGCAGACGAGTCCATTGTCTCGGGTGGTGCCTCCTCTTACAAAGACTCACATTCCAATTGTGTTTGAGACAGACACTCTTGGAATGTTTAAAAGGTGAAGCCTCTGATATCTGTCTTGATTTACGTGTTTCTTTGCAGTAGTAGAATAAAAACAATGTGGCTAGTTTAAGCTCAGTGTAATTATGATAAATGTTACTTGTGTATACTCATTTATGGTGACATTGTAATAATTTATGTTGCAAAGTTTTGCTAGCATAGTAATGTTTCTTAGGGTTTTAAAAAAACCCAGCTCTCTTGCCAAAAGCCCATATAGCCACAGGTATATCAGGGGAAAAAGCTAGCTGTTACAGTGTATTTGTTAGGACAAAAATTATGAGAAATCGTGTGCTTTTTGACATAGTGTTGCATTGCTGCATCTATGCTCAGATCTTTGGAGGCAACTTGTGGGTGAATGTATAGGCAAACTGTTTTCTAGCCTTCTGGTATGGACATGGAGCTCTCACTTTACTAATGCCATTAACAGGACTGTATGAGGTTGAGGCTCCTTTGGGATAATCTTCACTTGTGACATGATTTAAGTTGTATGCAAAACAATTACAAAGTGCTTTCTCTTGACAGTCTTAACTGTGTGTTCACACTCAATCATTTTATTAACCTACGTTGTTGCTGATGATTATATTTTATGTAAGTTTTACTCTGTTATAACATAATAAGTACATAAAAAATTTGAGAAATATATATATATTTTTATGTTGCAGACCTTTCACTTACATCATAAACAACCAACACCTTGGGCATGTGCTGGTAGTTGCAAAAGCGGTGCCTGTTGAACTTGAGCTGTCTGCAAGGGAACTGATTTTAAAACCTGTTCCTGGCTACTTAGCAGAGGCAGAATTTAGAACAACTGTCACGGTACGCAATCCCAGAAACCATGCTGCAGAATTCACTTGGAAACCTGTCCTTAGAGATAGAGGAACTGCATTTTCTATACAGCCAACCAAAGGTATAGTATGCAAGTACAATGTGTGTGCATGTATCCTGTATGTCAATAATGTTAAATAAGACAAACATATCTATCTGATGCTGTAAATTGTATTTTTTAGATTTGGGTCAAAATCAGTGTATCCTAAAAGTAGTATCAGATTAGAGTGTTAATGCCAAGGCAGCATTCCTGTATAAGACCTGTCCTACTCAGTCCAGTTTGTTTTTTTGATGTCTAGCCAGCAGCGCTTACGTAACCATTGTTCTCAGAAGAGATGGCTGATATTTCAAAAGGGAGGCACCTATTTAACAGCAATATCGTACAGCTCATCAGGATAGGAAATTGTCCAAAAGCACTGTATGAGCGAGGCTGCTAAGAAGTTGATGTAGACTGAGTCTGAGTGACGCAAATGGAATTCAGCCTTGGATTAGCTTCCACATGCATTATGGATCAATATTTGTTAGAAGAGTGTGAGACATTAGCTTTTACCTTCTTTCCCTTGAATGCTGGTGTTCTGCAGGAAATACATTGAAGCTCTATTATTAAAGAACTAACTGCTAACTGAATCGACATTACGTAGTTGAAACAAGATTTGACTAGATCAGGAGTGGTGTGTTCTGATTCTTGAGAAAAGATATTTCTGCTGCTACGATTTCAGATTTAATTGCAAGCAAGAAAATATATATATGGTCTTTCCCAAGGTTGTTATTCTATAAGAAAGATAGTCAGTTCTTTTACTTTTAAAAATGTTGATTATCTGAGTAATTCATTGGTAAAAAATATCAGCGAACTTTGAGTGTATTTTACTGCAGGGTACTAATAAACAGATTATGTAATAGTCATGAGAATTCAGAAACTAGTCTTACTAATTCAGCATACTGTTCAACACCTTGGAAATGTAGGCTTAATTTTCAGTAACAGAATGTCATTTCACTTCAGTGTGCTTATGTTTTTTCTAATTATGCAATGTAATTTGATAATTGTACATGTGTGTGCTAAAATGAGTAAATTATGCACATTTATTCAGGCTCTGTTGAGGCCTACAGAGATCTAGAATGTGAAGTTATTTGGCATCCAGGGTTTAACTCTCCAGAAGCAGGAGAATTCAACTTGTGTGTGCATGAAGGAAAAAAAATTAAGTTGAAATGTTTCGCAAAGGTAAGAATTCATACAGCAAATTTGGAGAAGAAAAATGTTAATTTTAAAAATTGTCGAACTTTTAAAAACCCAAATAATTTCTTAGATATATTTCTATTATATTAAGAAATTATTTTAAATTCATATGGCTTCTGTTTGATACATTTAATGGAAGAATATTGCTCCAAAAACATGATGGAGGAGGCAAGACAAAGACCATTTGCCTTTTTCTTGCTTTCGACGATATGTTTCATCACCAGAACTTTGTGGTCCTTATATATAAAGCGGTAATTGCTGTTGGCTCACTTAGTTGAACCAAAAAAATGTTGAGAGGTGGTATGATAGTTCTTCAGATATGTATTAAAGGGAAAAAAAATCAAGGTGGATGTGGGAAATATTGTTTCAGATCTTCAGGGTAACAACAGGTTATAAAACGATTTGATATTGTTATTTGAGCATAGAGCTGGGCTGGAAGGGACCTTTAGAGGTCATCTAATCCAACCTCCCTGCAGTGAGCAGGGACAACTTTAAATGGATCAGGTTGCTCAGAGCCCCATCCAGCCTGACCTTGAATGTCTCCAGGGATGGAGCCTCCACCACCTCTCTGGGCAACCTGTGCTAGTTTCACCACCCTCATAGTAAAGAACTTCCACACTATTTGATAATTTGAAAAGCAAGGCTCTGCTCTGTCTTCTGAACAGCAAAATTCAGCTTAGTTTAATCGTTTGTTATCTTATGTTACATGTCAGGGATTGTGAAGGAGAGAGACTTTTTTTTTCTTTCGCCCGATGTGTTTTTCCCAGCTGCAGGCTCTAGAACTTGCATTTTGGGAGCCAAGAAAACATTCCCTGTCCTTCTCATGTGCCTGCTTTCTCTTTTATGTGTTTTTTTTTATCCAGTAGCTTTTTTTCAGTTCTTCCTCTCTTGAAGCCTTGGATATTATCATACGTAAACAAAGATGTGTGTAAATTAGAATATTGGCATTTCCACTGCTATTAAAATCTCTGAAGTGTCTCTTCCTGACCACACATTTAGGATCAAAAAAACCCACTATGGAGCTTGTGCTGTTAATTAAATTAAAATATTTCATTTATCTTGAAATTGGTCCAAAAATTTCTCTGAAGTTGTGTCTAATCATGTTGAATCTAGGTAAATTTGATACACTGAGTAAATTTTGTCTCACATAGAATCATAGAGTGGCCTAAGCTGGAAGGGACCTTAGAGATCATTTATAATCCAGCCTCCCTGCCACCAGGGACGCCACCTCTCGACTAGATCAGGCAACACATGGGGACCAAACGGGAATCAAACCCGCGACCTTAGCGTTGTTAGCGCCATGCTCAACTGACCAAGCTAACCGGCCCCCTATTATCTCATTATGTAATGAAAAGTAGGTTGGATTATTTATTTGTACTTAATACTATGTTATTTAGTTTGCTTGTTTTATCTTTTTATATTTATAGCTTGGTACTGCTGAAGTTCAGTTCCTAGAACAAAGGATAACCTTCTATCATAGTCCAATGGGTTTATCTACTTGTAAGACAGCCATTCTTCAAAACATAGGATACAATCATGCGTACTTCCAAGTAAGCTAAAATTTCTGGCATATTTGATTTCTTGAGGTGAGGACAAAGAAGGGAGTTGATTTTATCAGACCATGTTACAGTTTTGTGTTCTCAGTTATTAAATACACACCTGCTTAAGGCTTTGACTGGTTTTTTTTGAAGAAAAAAGATATATATGAATAGGAATTCTGTCCCTTTGTCAAATTTGGATTCATGGATAGATGGACTGACAGACAAGTGAAGTGGTAATGGTCTGAAAGATTCTGGAAGTTTCATAAGAACTAGTGGTGAGGGTGGAACTCCATACTGATGTGCCCTATGAAAAGCAATTACTGCTTGGATGTTCATGTATTTTGAGAGACAGAGCAAACTGTCCAGTCATCCTGTTCGTACATACTGGCTGCCCAGTCAGTGCATAAATAGACCCTGACCAGTCACAGCAAATGTGATTACTTTGCTAGACTGACATCTGAAAGCAGGATCGGCTGTATTATGAATTGGATAAGAGATGAGATGTAAGCCGGTGTAGGTGAAGACATGATACATGAATTAGTAGGAAAACTTACCTCATTAGTTCTCCTGATCACAGAATAATTTGCTCTATTTTTTTAGTGAAACAGAGTAGTTTTCAATAAAATCTTTAGAATTTTTGTTTCTACATTATTAAAGTACTAAAAAACTCTATTTTGATTTGTACTATATTTCTCTGTTTATCAACCAGAGCGTTATAATTACTACACTCATGGAGGATGGGTCTGAAAGAATAAAATCAGCATTATCAATACGACAAATGTACCTAGCCTTGTAAGCCTCCATGATTACTCTTAAGTCAAGAGATGGCTGATTAATCTTGGTCATTATCACTTTTGTGGCTATATTTTGAGGAGTTATCTTTTTGGAGTGCATTATAAGAGAAGAAATTCAAATTTGTCCTTACTAATTGTGCATAAACTGAGTATTTAGTCCTAACGTTGTACTGAACTTTAGAGTATTAGGGTCCCATGGCCCATCTTCTTACTGTGAATGTCAAAAAAGAAGTGATGAATTTATCTATCACTGAAAAAATGCTTTGTAGAATATTCTGAGTACTTGAGAAATAGCAAGTCCTAATTTTAATAACTTCATGAAAACAACCCCAAAACTAGAATATTAATTTTTCAACTGGTGTGCAAAAATTATTTCATTGTAGAAATGACAGTCATAATGTTTAGGAATCTGTTACTTTGTTGTTTACCTATATTACCAAACTTCTAAGTCCAGGTTGGCATTACATGTTATGTAGATATATTGGTATTACATAAAAAAAAAAACCCAAACAAACCATGACCCTCCCCAAAAACCCCGAGCACCTAAACCCAATAAAAACGTCACCTTTTCCAGTGTTATTAACATTTCATGTTTGCATTTGAAGGTTCTTGATTCAAACCCAGTGCCTGGAATGATGATCACCCCTTCGGAAGGTGTGGTACCTGTGGGAGGTTCTGCTGACCTCAAAATCTGTTTCACTCCGAATGCAAAGATGAGTTTTGATACAAGAGTGGAGGTATTCAAAACTGGAAGACTTTTGTCTTTTGAGTGTTACGGTGTGTTATGGTGTGTGGAGATGTGCGTGCTTTTGAGTATTTTTTGGAAGTTAGCTCCAGTGTTCTAATGCTTTTTTTAAGGAAAAAAAAAAGAAAAAAGGTTTGCTTACCGCAGTTGATGGCTACTGTAATGCGTTCTGCTATTTTGTCTCAGTCCTGCTCTGAATAAAGTATTAAAACTGCAGTTTTTATGGTCTATGGAGGAGCAGGACTGAAATATTGCAGTGTTTTTACTTTCTTGACTTCTTTTTGTGATTATCTCAGAGTTAGATTTACTAGTAAATTGATTGGATAGTAGGAGTGCAGTTAACCTCGAATTCTGTTTTGTTTTCTGCCTGCTTGCTTCTGGAACTTGCTCTTGGTTAGATAAGTTAGATCTGGAAAAATGATATAATCATGGGGCTGATCTTTGCTACCCTTTCTGATTCTAGTCCTACATTGTCCATCTTCGGCTGCATAAATTATGTTCACTAAACCTAGTACCCGCTTCTTTTTTCTACTTCTAAAACAGATTTAGCATTGCTTAGAACAATAGGGTCTACTTTGTACCAGCACTTTTGTGAATTAATTTGTTTTGTAGCGTACTTTCTTCTCTTCACAGCTGCTGAATAGCTCTAACGCATCCACTCAACTTTCTCCTTTTGGAGAAAACCATTCATTCTAGTGATACGGCCTCCTGTAACATTGTATTTGTGTCTGCAGAAGACTGGTCTTTCCTAAAACTTTGTTGGTTTGTTATTGTTTGTTTGGTTGGTTTTTTTTCTTAATTGACAGCTATGACTACCCCAGATATGGTATGGCACAGACGCAGGATTGGTTCTTCTTTGAAGCCACATCTAGCTGGAATATCTGTGACTGGCATTTCTTCATGAAGGCATTTTCTTTACCTCTTTGTATGTCCATGACAAAGATGTGTTATATTATAAGGGCAGAGCTATTTTTATGTTTTCATTGCAAATTATGTTGAATGTCTCTATATCTGTGGAGTAGGACTTTTTTTTGTTCATTTGTTTGTTTTCTAACTTTTTTCTTTCATTACTTATGACAGATTTGGTGCAATAGTTATGTTAAAATGACCTTGTCAACAGTCACACTGTTGTCTGTTTATTTAGGTAGCAGTGCGAAATTCAAGAGTGCTGGTGCTCAGGGTTGGTGGATTTGTAGAGATTCCTGAAATAAATATTGATGTGGTAAGTATGAAGAAATTGTAGTGATTACCAAGATTGACAGTGTTTTGCTTTATCTAGATATCCAAGGGGATCTTCCCTACTTCATATTTTTAATCTTTTCCTCTACTGGCTTCCTGGGAAAATTATCAAAGAGAACAACTTAGGAAGAGAAATTAAAAATTGAATGTACATATAACAGTTGCACTAAATCATAGCTGACAGCTTTAGCTTTTGAACTTGACAATCTAGAAAAAGTATGCTAAAAGGGAGAGAGTTTTTTAAGGTACTTACAGGAAAAAAATGCGATGAAGGGACAAGGAATCCACTCATGTGTTTCCTGAATGATGAAAACTTTCCTGATGATGTAACTGGACCTATGTATTAGGTCCTAAACTGTTATATTTTATGTCCTGGAAAGATTTTAGAGATAAGGGTTATGCAAGTCAATTAATTAACCAAGATTGTTATTGTGTTATAAGTTGTGAATCTTTGAATAATTATGTGTTTTACATTCTGTTCAATTATAAACTTAACTTCACAGTGCTTTGACCCTTTTTTTAATTTTTCTTTTTAAACTTACAGGAACTGTTTGATTTTGGTGGTGTTTATGTTGGTTCTACAAAATCAATTCCCTTTTTGCTTGAGAACCGAGGACAAGCATGTACCAGAGTGGAGTTCGATTTTTCCAAGTATAAGGATTTTACATTGAGTACTGATGACCATTCAGGTATTTGCTACCTTTTTTCTTTTTTTTTAGAATTTTCATTGAATGAAGAATGGATAATGGTAAGAGAAAATCTGTCAGACTGTTTCTGGTATACGAATTTTCTGATTTGAAGAAATCTAAAGCAATTATTTTAAAATTACTGCTTAATATAAATCAAGAAAACAACATTTTAGTTTGCCTGTAAAATGACATTTGCCAAAAATAAACACTTAGAAAATGTCAGGTTGTCTGTAGATTCTTTTTTTCTTTGGTTTTTTTTTTTGTTTTGTTTTTTCTTTTCTTGTTGAAGTATGTTAAGGTATATTAAGGTATATTTTTTCTGGAAATATGTGGAATTAGATTGCTATTCTTTATTTATTAATAAAACTAGTGCGGATTCTTATCCTTTGCTCATTGTTACTCATCCCTTTTCTTCTTCGGTCTTGGCATCTCCTTTGCTATTTCAACATCTTTATTCACGAGAGAATTTTGCAGCTTTGCTTATATGGCTGGCCTCTTGTCTCTGCAAGCTCAGGAAATCAAGACTCTTGCTTTTGCAAGACAATATTATAGTATTTAGTTGTTTCTTTATGTAGAATTATATGAGGATGATGCCAAAATTTATATGACAAGGAGAGAGGGGTTTTCTTACTATGTAGTGGCTTCAAAGGGAAGCTGAAGGCTCCGAGTCAGTCTTCTTAACTTAGAAGAGAACTGTGAGGCTGTTTACAACAGGCAATTACACAGCACGGGAACCGACTTGCTGCACGTGGTTTCTAGATAAGAGTTGGAGCTTGAAACAAGTTAATATGATATCCAGTCAGTTCAGTACTGTTCAGATAGTGAATATTGGATGAATACTGATTGTGGTGTTCCAGGATGAATACTGAGCTTAGAGCAATATTGTTTCCCGGAAACCCCATGCTTCTGCCAGTGCCTTAAAATTGAGCATGAAAGTCTGAAAAAAGGAAGCAAGCACTGGTAAACTTCTATAGCGTAGAGTATGTCTGAAAGTCATTTAGAAAAACATTTCAGCCAACTATTTTTCTCCCTCTGGTAATAGTTTTCATTACTTAACTCTTTTTGCCTAACACTTTTATTCAAAGGTAGATGACAGTGGGCTTTTTTTCTAAAGTATTGTGTTATTTTCTAAAATATTCTGTTCTTCGAAATCAATAACTTTAATGAAAGTTGCTGATGATTGACACTTCTCAAAACTACCTGCAGAATACCTATGAGAAGTAGAATATTAATTCATAATTTTGTGAGAAGTGTTTACCCTACAAATATGTAGATAGCTTATGTTGGAAATCACTTAGAAGTACTGCAACTGTTAGTAAGTTGATATTTAGTGGAATAACATATGTAACTTGATTTTGAATTTTGTTTGACAGTGTTTGTCTGCAGTTCTTCAAAGCCTCACTTGTATTTGATTAACTTAAAGGGAAAGTCAGCTTTGCAATGCTGCTTGTCCTTCATGCCAAAAGAGGTAGGTTTGTGGGGAAGTGGTGATTATGCTAAATTAAAATCATGCTCTGTGATATTTCTATGGTAAAAGAACATAGAGATTTTACATGCATGTTTTAGTGTGTGCAGTAGTTTTTTAATAGTAATCTAATTTTTAAGAAAACAAGTTCCAAAATAACCTTTATATAACTTTTCTTGCTTTCCTTAAATGTTTACCAACACAAACTAAACACACTTTCTCAGTGTACTTAAAAATGGAAAAGGTATAAACTTAAATTTATGTCTTACCATGCATTTGTTAAATCATTTGACAAACTGACAGACATTTTCTTTTTGCAGCTATTCATGCTTTAACTCTCAGATGACCAAGGAGGTTTATGTGTCATAAAGATGGCTAAGTTGCTTTCTCATTGAGCTATTTCAGTGAAATAAGTTGAAGATATGCAACTTTGTGGGTTAGTTTTACATCAGGAAAATAGCATTTTATTGGAAGTGGGTGTCAATAGAGAGTGCTGTAGTAAGTTTTAAACTGAAGCCTGTTGAACAATGTTTTAGAAATGGAGGGTTTGAGCTTTCTACATATTTAGGGAACAATGAACTGTAAGAAAACTTAGTCTTTGATATTATGAACCAGCTTCAGAACAAGCAGCTGGGGACCACTTCTGCACATAAACCTGTTTCATTAGCTCCATTTTTACCTTGAAATAAATGAATATCAGAGACAACACATCTTGGAAGGGTCAACAATAATCTTTTTTTCACACCCCTCCCCCCCTCTCTTCCCAGACTTCAGTTTTTGAACAAAAGGGAATTCCTTTGTTCAAAGCATTATTCAAGTAATATTTGCATATGCTACCAGGCTGTGTCTGGTAACACTGTCATTTTCTTCCTCTTATTGCTGTCAGCTTAGATTCTGTGTGCATGTGGAACCTATTGTGAAATAACTGGTGGTGTGAATTTATAGTACATTCACTACACTGAGGTGATTTTTCCTGACAGAACGTTAGTCAATAGATTCACAGAAAAAAATGAAGCTATTTCAAACCAAATTAATTCCCTCCTATAGCATAGCAGGCCTTGAGGTTAGGGAGGAAGCAGTGGTAGTGTCATATCTTTTAAGTATCTTGCAACTGCCTGATGGAACATTCTCAGGAGCAAGGTATTCAGATTTAGACTAGATACAGTGTTAAGAAAGTATGTAATTGTTTGCAAAATGGCACATATAGATCATCATCAGTGACCTATTGTCACTCAGGAAGGAAAAATGCTGACGTTGTCATTTAAGTAGGAATGGTCATCAGCAGAAATGCAGGACTAGGTAATGCTGTTGGAGTAATCTATGTGCATGGTATTGTAGAACACGAGCTGAACAAGAATTAAGAGTAGAGGCAGACACCATACTGATTTATATAAGTGGGAATAATGTTAATAAAGCAAGTAAAATATTCTAATCATTGCTGATGACACTTGAGCTGGAACACTTTTCCATTTGGGTTGATATGCTTAAAGAAAGAAGTAGAAAGAAAAAATAGAAATAACTTCCAATACTCAGGAATATAATTTATCTATGCTTGTTCACTGCAATAGATAGATAATGAGCAGTGGGTTTAAATTATGCCAGGTGGATTAGATATAAAAACTTGTTGTAGCAGAAAGAATCAAATATTGCTATAAATTACCTGAGATCTCCATTACTGAAGACTCTTAAGATGGGTTTGGACAAACATCAACATAAATGCTTCACTCTGTCCCAAGGGGACAAGTCATCTGCCAGACAATCACATTGTAAAATCATATTCTGACAACATCTTCTTGCCACAAAGACGAAATTCTGTCCCCACTAAGGCCAGTGTTAAGGCTCTTAGTAATTGTAATAGAATTTTTTAGTGTCTGTCTCTTGTTAAGTGTGAAATTCAAACCGGTTAAATAATAATTAATACAAAGGAATATAGATTTTTGGCTTAAAATGCTGAAATTGCAATGTGGATAGGCTGTCTTCCCTTATAAATAAAAAGAAGTAAATAAATAGTGTAGAGGAGTTAGCTTTCTTTGTGGAATAGATGGGAACAAGATAATGATGGTACAGTTAATACTTTAGCTTAGTTAAGCTAGTATTTAATTGTTTTGATTTTTTTTTTGGCATCTATACAGAAAATTCAGGTAGGAGGTCTATAAAAATGGAATGTCACAAATGTATTTATGTAAAAATGATAAACGGTCTAGATATGCTGCAACAAGTTCTAGCAGTACTGTTCTATGAACGTACTATGTATAAGAATTAACAGGTTACAAGAGTTTTACTTTCAAGGCCTTAATTCAATTTACGTGCATAAAACAATTTTACTTCACTCTTGTCAAGTACTTAACAGAGGTGTTTCTAATTTACACTATAGATGCAATTTTCATTAATTTTTTTTCTCAATAGCTAAAAGCATACAATTACATGTAAGATCTAAACTCCATAGATATTGATAGGAGCCACAACCTGAAACCTGATGCCTCCGTTCTTCCTTGTGGCACTGGATTTCTCTGGTGACAGTGCTACTGTACAAAGCGATCCTTTTTTCTCTCCACTTCTTAGTGGAAAAAAAGTGCAGTGGCAGGTCAGTGCTGCCCCTTACAGACTAGTGAAATATCAACTCCTAAATAATACCCTTTCCATTCCCTTCCCCAACTATCAAAACAGGAATTTTATTTGCCTCCCAGTACTCTATTTTCCATTGTTATAATTGAGCTCTATTACTATCTTCTTTCCCTGTCAAGTTGCAAGTTGGATTAAGAGTAAGAATGTTGCTACTGACACTGCTGTAAATTGAAGTGACTATTTCTGAAGACTGCTGAAGTAGCAGATAATTATTTATGTTTAATTTGACTTGTCATCTGAACTACTGTTCAGTATTACTGTTCTTTATTGATAAGCATTTCCAACTGTCATTTGATACTGGTGGTATTGTAACATAACTAAAGACAAGGTTATACCAGTTAGCACTCTGCTCTGGATATAAATTTTGAAAAAAAAATTCTTATATTTGACTGGATCTGTTTGTGACTGCTTTTCTTGAAAAAAATTAAAAGAATATGTGGAATATATTGCATCTATTGATTACGGATTTCTCCATAGAGGTTTCTGATATTTTTTTAATTTTTCAAACTCTAGATCTAAGTGTTATTTTTGGCGAAGTGAACAACTTCCTGCTTTAGAAGTAGGGGAATAAAGAACTTCAAAAAGGAAATTTTCTTGGGGCATCTCATATCTCAAAACCCAACCAATAAGTGCTGCTTTAATGAAATGCCTTTATTTCAGTTTCCTCTTCCCCTTGTTCTTGGTGCTAGGTAAGCTCACTCTACGACCCATGCTTCCTTTCTGCTCCAAGTGTATTTTTTTGCCTCCCTGTTGGGCAGCTTACTTATTGCCAGGAAAGACGTGTCCAAGTACAGCTTAGAACCCGCTGGTGCTCACAAAATAACGTCACTGAGAGTTAGTGCAGCCCCGATAGCTGGCAGCAGTAGCACTGGCTCACGTTAAATGAAGTTAGCAGGGAACTGCTTGAGAG